GGCCCCGAGGCCCGAAACCGGGGGCGAACGCCCGTTGCGGAAGAGTACCGACGCCCAGATCTGAGGGCACCTCTTCCTCTTCCCCTCTCCCTGGCAGGAAGGAGAACTGGAGCGCCTTCTTCCTGCAGACTCCGCGCCCGGGCGACCCCGGCGCCAAGGAGTGGGGAAGCGTCCTGGCTCGCCCATGGGCCCACCAAAGAATGTTCTAAAAACCTTTTGCGGCCTGCTCGAAAGGTCCTGAAAACATGCATGGATGAGACCGTCTTGTTTTGACACATCGGGGCTGATGTTCTAAGCGCCGTCTTTTCGCTCTCAGAACATTTCTGGGTCTTGAGAGCATATCGTGGTGGTCCTATCGGAACGCCGGGACTGACGCCGGCTCCTGTCGGCCGCGCGGCGCGCGGCCGCCAGCACAGGGCCTCCCTGTTGGGAGGCCCCGACGCCTGTCGGAGAAAACCCGGTGCGCAGGTCGAGGGTTGAGTCGGGCATGCCCTTCTACAGGAGGAAAACTCAAGAATAGTAAGAAATTCATATGTTGGCGGCCTTGTTCCTGATCTTGTGTCTGCTTTGGGGTTCCGGGGGCTCTTGCTTGATTTGTCTTCGGGTCGAGGGTTGCGTCGGGCATGTCCCTCTACAGGAGGAAAACTCACGAACAGTACGACATTGATGTGGTGGCGGTTTTGCTCCTGCTCGTTTGTCTGCTTTGGGTTTTTTGGGGCTCTTGCTTGTTTTGTTTTCAGGTCGAGGGTTGAGTCGGGCATGTCCCTCTACAGGAGGAAAACTCACGAATGGTAAGGAAATGATGTGGTGGCGGTTTTGTTCCTGCTCATTTGTCTGCTTTGGGGTTTCGAAGGCTCTTGCTTGTTTTGACTTCAGGTCGAGACTTAGGTCGGGCATGTCCCTCTATAGGAGGGAAACTTAAGAATAGTAAGACATTCATATGGTGGTGGCTTTGTTCCTGCTCATTTGTCTGCTTTGGGGTTTCGAAGGCTCTTGCTTGTTTTGTTTTCAGGTCGAGGGTTGAGTCGGGCATGTCCCTCTACAGGAGGAAGACGCAATAATAGTAAGATATCATATGGTGGCGTTTTTGTTTCTGCTCTTTTGTCTGCATCGGGGTTTCGCGGGCTCTTGTTTGATTTAACTGCAGGTTGAGGATTGAGTCGGGCACGTCCCTCTACAGGAGGACAGTTCAATAAAAGTAAAAACTAGTTGTCCGACGATGTTTCTTGCTCGCTTCTCTGTTTTAGGTTTTCGCCGACTGGTGTTTAATTTGTCTTCCGAAGCCTGCCTGTAGGAGGACATGCCCGACCGAAGTCGAGGCTCGAGGCTCGAGGTTGGCGGACCTTGCGAGGGTCGAGGTTCGAGGGTCGAGGTTTCCGGCCTCATTAAGTCGAGGTTCGAGGGTCGAGGCTCGAGGGTCGAGGTCTCCGGCGGACTTGGCTCGAGGATCGGGACTCGAGGATCGAGGATCGGGGTTCGAGGATCGAGGTTTAAGTCGGGCATGTCCCTCGACAGGGGGAGTATTCAAAAATAGTCAAAACAGCAGTTTCGGGACATTTGTTTTATTTTTTTGTATTTGGGGGGGTATTCTTTCGAGTATTTTTCATTTTTCGCCCAAGATCCCCCTGTAGGGGGACGCGCCCGACTTCAATCGAGGTTCGAGGATCGAGGGCCGAGGCCTCCTGGTGCGCCCTCGTGGCCGCGGCTGGCTGCCCCGCGAGACGCGGACCAGGGTGCAGCCTGTTGTGGGGGGGGGCTCTCGGGAAGCCCTGCGCCTCTCCCTCGGGGGCGTCCTCAAGGGCGCCCTCGAGGGTGCGAAGTTCTTCGCGCTTCGCGCTTCGGCTCCGATTCCTCCTCATCCTCCTCTTCTTCCTTGGGAGGCGGCGCGAGAGCGCGAAGTTATTCGCACTTTGCGCTTCGCGCAGCGCGAAGCGCGAAGTTGGGAGCCCTTGGTCCTGGAGGGGGTTGGCGGCGCGCACATGGCGGCGGAGGGACAGCACGTGGACAATAGATTCGAACCCAGTGCACACTTAGAGGAATACTGACCCCCCTATATCAATGTTGAACTCGGTATGGGTGGTGATGTGGGGTGTCGAATAGTTTTGTCCACTCAAGCCCCCTTGCTTGCCACGTCCCCCCATATCGATTTGGGGATCCGGGAGAGCCATCTTGCGCCGCAGGGTTCGAATCTATTGTCCACGTACGGGAGGGGGTAAGTCTTCGTAGAAGGAGGCTGGTTCTCAGAATGCGGCGGCCCTAGATGTACAGGTAAGGCCCACGCCTTCTACGAAGCAGGAGTGCTTCTAAGAAGCCTTCCCCTCCCCCCCCACCCCCCTCGGCGCGGGGCTGAGGGGTGCTGGTGGTGGCCCGGGTGAGGTGGACATCTGCCCTGGGCCCAAATTCTCCCAGATTTCAGGGCCCCCACTGGTCTTCTTTCCAGCACGTTCGCGGGCCCCGAAGGGTCCGCCCGCGGGCATGCCTTGGGCCATCAAGCCCGGCCGCCCCACCCCCAGCGCAGAAGGCAATTGTGCGACTTGTCCCCCATACTTCCCAAGTGAGCGACGCAGAGAAACGGTGTCGTTTGCGCCGACATTGGCGCGCAAGCTGCCCGCGTAAGGTTGCGCGTAAGCGCTTCCTTTCCAATGTGGTGTGTCGCGCTAGCGGCCCGCGTAAGCCACCGCGCAAGACACGTTTCGTAACGTTGTTTAAGTGGGGTCCGAGTTGATGGGGTCGGAGGATCGCGCGCGCATCGCCGATGCACCGCCGATACGTTTCAACGTGCAGCTCGATGTTCTCTGGACTCCCCAGCGCATCCTGGAATGCTCGGTCTCCAGACATGCTCGCGTCGTGAAAATAACCGGCGGAAGGTGCTTCCAGAAAAACAGTGCTTGCATTTTTGGGGTTCTTGCTTCGCTTCTGGGGCAACTGGGCCCCGGTGCCTGTCCAGCCGGCTCGTGGCCGCCCGTCGCTGCCGTCCGTCGCCGCCAGTGACGGGGCCCCGGTGCTGGTCCAGCCGGCGTGTGGCCCCCCGTTTTTGCCGCCCGTCGCCGCCATTCTTTTTGCATTGCTCTGCATTGCTTTGAACTGCTTTGCTTTGCATCGCATTGCCTGGCATTCATTGCGTTGCATTGCAGTTCGTCGCATTGCTTGGCATCGCCGTGCATTTGTTGGTATTGCGCTGCATGGCGTTGCATTATTTTGCAATGCGTGGCGCAGCGAAGCATTGCATTACATCGCCTGGCATTGCTTTGTATGTGTATGCATCGCGTCGCATTGTTTTGTATTGCATTGCTTTGCTTTGCTTCGCATTGCGTTGCATTGCTTTGTATGGTTTCGCATTGCGTTGCATGTCTTCGCAGTGCTTTGTATTGCGTTACAGTCATTTGCATTGCTTTGCAGTAGTTTGCATTGCTTTGAAGTAGTTTGCATTGATTTGCATTGCTTTTCATTGATTTGCATTGCCTGGCTCTACACTGCATGACATTTTGCTTTGCATTGCGTCGTATTGCTATGCATTGCTTTGTAACACATGTATGACACAGCCAACCTAGATTGCACCATATTGATTGCACCACCTAAATTGTTGCACCGCAGAGACTGCAAGAACGTGCTGTTTGGGGCTCACGCTGGCACGTAAGTTTGTATACATGTTCCCTTTTTGCTTATTTTTGCAATCTGGGACCCTGCGACCCCCCCGCCCCCCCTAAAGGGGACCCTCCGGATCCCTGGCCCCGGCGGCTCCCTGGACGCCCATGTCGAAGGTCCCCCGGGCTTTTCGGAGCTCCTGGAAGCCCATGCTGGGCCCAGGCAGCGGGCCCAAATCGGTCAGGAGTGCGGCCGAAATGTCCCCCGAGGGCTCCAAGAGGCCCTAAACACCCACCAGACGCCCGAAGACGACCCACAGAACACCCCCAAGAGGCTTCCGAAATGCAGAAAAACATGGATTTCCAATTGTGTTTGTGTGATTTGGGGAATGCTCTGTTCTTCGGACTTCCAGGCGTAGGCCCGAAAATCACGCCCAAACTGTCCGAAAGGGCTTACAGGCAGCCAAAGAGACCCCCAAAACGGCCCTACAGTGCCCAAGATGACCCGAAGAGAGCCTCATGACGGCCCAAGATGGCCCCAAGACGCTCCCCGAAGCAGTCCAAATCGTGACCCGGCCGCCCAGGGAGACCGCAGTTAGAAGCAGTGTGGCTCGAAGAATCTTCCAGAGGCCCCCAGAAGGCGCCCAGTGGGCCTCCAGAAGACCCCAGGAAGCCCGGTAAAAAATTCATGAGGCCCCCAAGAAGCTCTCCAAGGAGGAGCCTCCGCAAAAGGGCAGAGGAGGATGGGGGAATAATTCGCAGGGGAGGGCGAGAATGAGGAAGAGGAAGAGGAAGCGTGAGGGAGGGACACCGAATTACATTATCATGACGACGATGCCAGACAAGGCAACGAGGACTTATCGCTATTTATTCTGCTTTACATTCCTGCCCTTTCGCCGCGACTTCCGCCTGCATGCCAATTGTCATGGACTAATGTGCATGCCGCGAAGTGCCAATGCAGCCTTATATCTGTTTATATATATATATGTACACATGCACGCATGCATGCATACATGCATGCATACATGCATACTACATACAGGTGTGCTTGCAGCGGAGAGTGTAGCGCCAATTGTTGGGCGAGCTGGCTGTACACAACTGCTACATGCGAAATGCAAATGCAATGGTTTTCGCACGAGCACGCTACCACAACAAGATTTATTGTAACGACTACCGCATGGCTGCCACGGCCTGAGGGACCGACGGAGTAGCCGAAATTGGGCGCCTGTGGTTTCATCAAAAAATTGAGGCAGGACCATCCTGATTCATGATCATCGTCACCATCACGTTCCTACGCCATCATCACTGGCATCATCGTGGCCATGGCTGATGCCGCCGCGCCCATCACCATCGTGTTCAGTTTTGTAATGGTCGCCAGCGCTGCCAACAGCAGCATCATGGTCATCGTCCGAATCATTTTGCTTCACAGATTGTTCTGCGCACCACGTACTCGCAGAAACGCGTGCCTTGGATCACTGGACCCAGACATAGGGCCCGTGGTGACAGCAATGGCAGAAGCGGACATATACGCGACATACACACGGCTCGCGGAGACATTCAAGACAGGCCGCACGAAGAGCTACGAGTGGCGTTTCGCACAGATCTCAAATATCCGCAGGATGTTGACGGAGAATCTCTCAGCGGTGGAGCAGGCAATAAAGGCTGACCTTGGGCGGCCTAAGGCCGAGGCAATGACTGCTGAAGTATTTGCAACCGTTGGCGAAATCGATTACGCCTTGAAGCATCTCAAGGAGTGGATGGCTCCAGAGGCGAAGCCCACACCGCTACTCCAAAAGCCTGGCAGGTCGGTCGTTATCCGTGAGCCCAAAGGACTTATCCTGGATCTGGCGCCTTGGAACTTTCCAATCAACCTGTCGCTGAGTACCATGGTGGGCATCATCAGCGCTGGCAACTGCTGCGTTCTGAAGCCCTCAGAGGTGAGTCCCAAGTGCGAGCAATTCCTAAAGGAGTACATCCCACGCTACTGTGACCCCGACGCGATCGCTGTGGTGACCGGCGGCGTGGCTGAGTCCCAGTTGCTCTTGAAGCTCAGGTGGGACCACATCGTTTACACTGGAAACAGCCACGTCGCCAAGGAGATTCTGGCTGCGGCCGCACAAAATTTGACGCCGTGTACCCTGGAGTTGGGCGGCAAGTCGCCAACCGTGGTGCTTCCTGGCGCCAACGTGCCCGTGGCCGCCAGAAGAATACTCGCTGGTAAATGTATGAATGCGGGCCAGATTTGCATCGCCCCTGACTACGCCCTGGTTCACGAGGCCGTGGCTGAAGCGCTCGAGGCCGAGCTGAAGAAGAGCATGCAGGCTTGGTACGGGGATGACGCACAGCAGTCGGCCAGCTTCGGTCGCATCATCAACCAGAGACACTTCCAGCGCGTGAAGGGTTTGGTGGAATCCGCTGGAGTGGCGGAGGTGTACCAGCAGGGGCGCATGGACGAGGCTTCCAAGTTCATACCGCCCACGCTCATCAAGAACCCAGGCGAAGATTCGGATATTATGAAGGATGAGATTTTCGGACCTGTCTTGCCGTTCATAACCTGCAGGTCGTTGGACGAGATCGTCGAGAGAATCAACTCCAAGGAGAAGCCGCTGGCCCTGTACATTTTCGGCAGGGAGGCCGACGCCGACGAGATCATCAGGCAGACCTCCTCGGGTGGTGTCTGCGTGAACGATACCATCTTTCACATTGCCACCCCGGAGCTGCCCTTCGGCGGCGTGGGAAACAGCGGCATGGGTTCGTACCACGGCAAGTGGGGCTTTGACGAGTTCTCGCACAAGCGCAGCGTCATGTACCGCGCCACCTGGGCCGACCCCAGCTTGAGGTCGGGAGTCCGAAACTCACCCAGGCCCACACGATCCTCAGCCTCGTATTCCTTTCCTGGATCGCAGGGGCGTGCACTGCAGTCCCCGCCCCCCCCTCCCTCCCCTTCCCTCTTACCCAAACGCGTACTCTTAAGTCGGGCCTGTCCCCCTACAGGGGGGTTTTTGACGAAAAATTAAAAATTCCCCAACAATACCCCAAAATGGTCAAAACAAAAAAAAAAATCGTCCCCTGACTAATTTATGACTATTTTTGAATTTCCCCCTGTAGAGGGACAGGCCCGACTTAAGCGTACTCTGCCCCCTCCCACTCGATCATTCCCCTCCCCTCCCTGGAGCCCTGGACCCCCCGCCCCTCCGGATCCTTCGCCCCATCGGTTGCTCGGAGCCCCCTCCTCTCAAAGTTATTGGGCTGGGTGTTCCCTCGGCCGTCGTGGAAGCCCTTCTAGGGAACACTCGAGGGAAGAAGCGACAGATGAGGAGAACGAGAAGGAGAGAGATGATCACGAGGACGATGTGGATAGCTTTGGGGTGTCTCTTGGGGCCTATTGGAGGCTTCCCGGGAGCCTCTTTAGGGCCTTCCAACGAACCTCTGGTGCCTCTTGGGGTCTCTTGGGGGTGTCTGGGGGCCCCTGGGGGCATGTGGGGGCCTGCGGGGGTCTCTGGGGGCCTCTGGGGGTCCTCTTTGGCCGTCTCATGGCTCTTTTGGGTCGCCTGACGCCTTGGGTGGCCGTCTTGCGGGGCTCTCTGAGCCCTTCTGAGGCGCTTCAGGGTCGTTTTCGATGTCACGTGGGCCGTCTTGGGGTCGTTCTGGGAGCCTCGTGGGCAGTCATGGGGCTCTCCTGGTGCATTGTTTTGTCAATATTGGAGCCCCTTGGACCGTCGTGGGCTGGTGACAGACCTCAAAAAGCCGAGAGCGCGAATGTCCTTCAACAGCCTCGCGGAAGTCAATGATGCTAGCGTCTTGGCCGCCGCCTCGAGGACATCTTCGAGCCACAGTGGGCCGCCTCAGACGCCTCTCGACCCGCCTTGAGGCCGTCACGGACACAGTATTGGTGCGAACTGGGGCCAACTTGAAGGCATGTTGCGGTCCCCCTAGGCTGCCTTGAGGCCACCCTGACCGTCTTGGAGACGGTGGAACCGTCTTGGAGGCTGTCCTGGGCCAGATCGGCAATCTTGGATGTAACGTCTCTTGACCTTCCGGTGTTTGGGGTGCCTTCTGGGTGTCCAGCAGGTTGAGCCGAGACCCCATTGGGAACTTTTGGGAAGGGCCCAACGGGCTAGTTGCAAACTCGGCACGCCGTGTATCCCTCTACAAGCAAAAGGCGTTGCGGATCGCAGACGCATGCGGCGAATCACCGTCGCCCCCCTGCTTTTTGGAAACGCCCACGCGGCCGAACGTGTTGGGCCGAAGTCTGGCGAAGCTATTGGACGATGTGTTCCCCCAGCCGCTGTGGAACCCAATGGGGGAGCACAAGTCCTCTCAGCGGCACGGCAGAGGCAATCCGAACGGGCGCTGGAGTTGTCGGAGGCGCTCGACACACGACCTGTCCGGCTGCAAGAGGGGGCGCGCGAGGAGCAGGCGTGGCTTCGGAGGACAGGAGGGAGGGAGAAGTCACTCACAGCTGCAAGCATTTCAGGATGAGCACGCCGGGGCGGCCAGCCGGGGCTGAAGTGACCTGGCAGTGGACGCGGGACGGCATCAGGGCCACACCCAGGGACCGAAGCCAGGGCTGCATGCGCTGGAAGCGTGAAGAGCAAGGTGAGCCAATGCGTCAGGAAGCAAGTTGGAAAAATTTTGGGAGAGCAAGACAAAGGAGAAGGAGAGGAAGGAGGAGGAGGAGGAGGACTAGTAGGACGAGGAGGACGAGGAGGAGGAGAAGGATGAGGAGGAGGAGGAGGAGAAAGAAGAGAAGGCCTCTGGATGCCATCTTGGGGGCTTCTGGGGGCATTTACAGTCGACCCACAGAGTCAGGATGAGTGACTTCCAAGGTTACCCTTGTACCCTTCCCCTTCGGCCCATCCTTGGCCGCTTTCGCTGGCCGCGCTCTGCCAGCAAAGTGTCGAAATGACCTTCCAAGGCTCTTGCATCCCGGAGGCCGTCTTGGGGCCATCTCTGAGCAGTCTTGGGTCTCGCTTTGGGCGCTTGAGGGCCCTCTTGGAGGTCCATGGGGCAGTCTTGGCGCCGTCTTGGAGGCTTCTTGGGCCGTATTGGGGCCCTCTTGCGGGCCTCTTCGAGGCCTCTTGGGGCGACCTTCAGGGCACGTAGGGCCGTCGTGGAGCGCTGGGGCCCCGAAGAGACGAGCATTCTCAATGATTCTGGCCTCCTGGAGGTCCTCTTAGAGCCCTCCTGGGGCGTCTTGGGGCCATCGTGGGCGTGTTGGAGGCATCTCGTGACCGTCTTGAAGGCCATCTTGGCCGTCTTGGGGATATGCTTGGCGGAATTTCCTGTCTCGTCGGGTGGCCAGCGGGCTGGGCCGACGGGCCTTGGGAACTCTTAAAAAGAAGAAGAAACTACCTCAAGTTTGGTACGCCGTGGACCCCTGTGGCAAGCCACAGTGGATCGAAGACGCCTACGGCGAATCACCGCCGCCCTTTGCCTTTCGGAATCGCCCATGCCCATTTGGCCGAACGTTCTGGCCAAAGCTCTGCCGAGCTATCGGACCATGTGTTCCCCCAGCCGGTGTGGGAACCGTTCGGGGAACACGCGGGGAGAAAGAAGAAGCGGAGGAGAGGTAGGAAAAGCAGGGAGGAGGAGGAGGAGGAGGAGGAGGAGGAAGAGAAGGCGGAGGAGGAGAAGGCAGACGAGGCTGAGGAGGAGAAGGACACTTGGGGCCTTTTGGAGGCTTCTTGTGGGCCTCTTGGAGGCCTCTTGGAAGCCTCCTTGGGCTTGTTTGGGGCCTTTTGAGACTTCTTGGGGGCCTCTTTGGCCATCTAAGGGTGTTGCTGGTCAGTCCGTCGGAAGCCGTCTTGGGGACCTCTCTGAACCGACTTGGGGTCCTCTTGGGAATTGCCAGGGCCACCTTGAAGGCCCCTTGGGCCGTCTTGAGGCCTTCTTGGGGCCGTCTTGGAGGTTTCTTGGGCCGTCATGGGGTCATCTTGGAGGCCTGTGGGGCCATCTTGGGGCGATCTTGGGGGCCTCTAGGGCCGTCTTGGACAGTCGGAAGGCCGAAAAGTAGCCAAGGACAACATCTTCCAAAAACAACGGCACATCTATGATGTTGGCCTCTTCGGGCCCTCCTGAAGGACCTCTTGGAGGCCTCTTGAGCCGTCTTGGAGGCCTCTTGAGGGCCTCTTGGGCCGTCCTGGGGAGGGTTCATCGGCGGACTTGGAGGCATGTTGGACCCTCTTGGGCCGTCAGGGAGGCCATCTTGGGCTCACTTGGAGGCCATCTTGACCGTCTTAGAGGCTATCTTGGCCCATCCTGGACCCGAAGCTGGGCCGAAGCCCCAGGGGGAGTTCTGAAACAGCCAAATACCATCAGACATTTAACACGCCGGGCACCACTGTGGCGACCGGCGGCGGATTCAGCACCAGGCACCCCTATGATAAATCGACTTCGATTTATCCCGCCACCGTACTTGGGTTTTGGGCCAAAGGCATCTTGGACGTAGATCACGGTCTGTGAGGATGCCTTTTCGGTGGGCTCTTGGGGGCCTCTTGGGCACTTCCTGGGAGCCTCTTGGGGCCTCTTGGGGGCCCACTGGAAGCCTCTTGGAGGCAGCTTGGAGGCTTCTTGGAGCTCTTAGGGGGCGCCTCGGGGGCATCTCGGGGGATCTTTGGGGTCATCTTGGGGTGCAGGGCTCGAAGTGACACTGCGTGTTCTCCCTCTTGGGCCCCTCTTTGGACAGTCTTGGGGGCTTCTTGGACCCCTGTTCGGGGCGCTGGGGCCGTCTCGGGGCGATCTTGGGGGCCTCCTGGGCTGCCTTGGACGCTTTCATATTTCGAAACACCCTCGGGTGATTTACCGATTTGAACTTCTTGGGCCAGCCAGGGGTTCCAAGACGGCCCAAGATCAGCTCAAGAGGGCTCCAGGACAGTCCTTAGAACCATCCTAGACAATGATCGACACGCATGTCCCGAGATACGCTCCTTCCGTCTATGGGAAAGTCCGGCGGGACGTCCCATGAGGCGTGAGAGACACCCAAGAAAATCCGAGACGTAGGGCTCTGCACCCTTCGAAGAGTATCTAGAATCTCCCATGTGAGCTAGCGTGGACCCCAATCAGTAATTTATCCAGCTGCCTGCGGCAATTCCGCCACTGCACCAGCGCAGCATTCTGGGTGGTAATCACTCGACATGGCCATGGGGTCTCCTGGGGGCCTCTTGGGGCAGAAAGCTCTAATTCCGGATTCGTGTTCCTGCTCTTGCGGCCGACTTGGGGCTTTCTTAGGCGGTCGTGGGCGCCTCCTGGGCCGTCTTGGAGCGTTCTGAGGCGTCTCGGAGCCCTCTTAGGCCGTCTTGGGGCCCGCTTGGGGGCTTCTTGGGCCGTCTTGGGGTAGTCTTGGTGGCCTCTTGGGTCGTCTTGGGACGTCGGAAGCTCGAAAAGGCGAGAACCCGAAAAACATCGACTAACTTAAGGAAACACTATACTTGTTGCCTCTCGAGGCCTTCTTGGGACGGCTCTTCTTGGGGCTCTCTTGGGATGCCTCGATAGCATCGTCGGCCGTCTTGAAGCCATCTTGGGCCGTCTTGAGGCCAACGTGGCCCGTCTTTGAGCGATATTGTGCGGTCTCGGAGGCATCTGGGCCTCGGGAGCGCGAACCTGTAGTATTTTGCAAAGGGTTATGGCCTCGGGAGGGGGGGGGGGGCGGCGATGCGCGCGACGAAGTGCGGCCGGGAGAGGGGGGGCTCATTAGAAAAGCACAGAAACCCGACCACGCATACCTTAGCATTATTCCACGCCTTAACGTGCACAAGGCACGGTGGCGGATTACACTTTGGGTATGCAAGCTGTATAGTGCAACCATTCGGTGCAAGTTATTTGGTGCAAGCTATGCGG